TCAGCCAGCAGTAGCCTCTCACGTGGCCTGGCTTTCACACATTGTGGCTGTAATTCAAATGTTAGTACCCCAAGTGCAAGGTGGCCTTTCACGACCAAATTTCAGAAGCCAAGCCGTGTCATCCCCTCCTGTGAGAGAGTCACTTCTACACATGATCTCTTGTATTCCAGACATGCTCCTCACCTTAGCTGTCTCCCCCATGGTCCGGAGCAGCTTAGTGAGGCCCCTTTTTACCAGTTGATTCTGAGACCTAAGGATCCCAAGCGACCAAGTGGAAAGTCTAGCATCCCATTCCATGCATCCTTGCTGTGCCTCCTGGTAATCATCCCTCCCCTGAAGCGAGACTGCTATGCTAGGAGAATGCACAACTGTAAGCAAGGACAGAGGCAGTAACTTGGCCAGCAGGTGACAAGTGTTGTAGTACCTCTTCTTTGTGTACCCCCAATTGATTTCAGGACTCACAAATCACGGCCACGAGAGAAACAGTACCACAGGCCAGACGGTGATTGTCAGCCTGTGGTCACCTTGGGAAACCCACTCCGTTACAAGTTATGTATTAAGTCAGCTAGCCTGGAAGTCACATCTGCCTTGGGAAGAAATGGAAAGGTAAACTGAGGTCTGGGCATGAACAGCAGTGCTGGCTTCCCTGAAAGTAAGACCTAAGAAGAAGCGAATCAGCCTTGAAAAACTAGAAATCCAAGGCGCCAGCCCAGCAGCCAGTCCTTACCTGCCTTACGAGCAGCCACCACGCCAGGGAGCAGTGAGGCGCACGCTGCTGCAGGACCTGGCCACCACTGTGGCAATGACCAGCGCTTATTTTCCCGTTAGGTCTTATTTTTGGGGAAACAGTGTTAGCAATTTCCACAAGGAATCTTGGATACCTTCACCAGGTCCCTTTATTTTCTGTCTGCCTATCAATACCTACTGAGTAACTCCTACGTGTGGAAGCCTGGGGTAGTGCTGAGGGTATGGGTAGAAATAAGACACTCTTTGCTTTCAATGTAACCTGCATTTTCACCTGAGATAAAATGTAAACACATTATTTTAATGTAAAGCAGAAATGTAATGGTAGCAATGCAGTGAGAGTGGCATGGGAATTCTGCCAGCTGAGCCAGGCTGGAAGCGAAAAGGAAGAGGCTTTTTTTGGGAGATGAGATATAAATATATATGAATGTTTTTGGTGGCACTAGGGATTGAAGCCAAGGCATTCACACTGAGCTACACCCCCAGCCCTTTATTGATTATGTTGAGGTGGAGTATCGCTAAGTTGCTACGTTCAAGCCCAACCCAGGCAATTGAGGAAGACCTTGCCTCAAACAATTTTTTAAAAATAGCTGAGTTTGTAGCTCAGTGCTAAGTCCCTGGTTTCAACCCCCAGGGTTGAAAAAATTTATCATGTAAATATCCAAAGGAAAAGCAAACTTTGTCAAGAGAAAGATGACTCATGCTTTCAAGGCTCGTTCCTAGTTTTCATTCTGTAAGAGCTGTCTGAAGTTGGAGGCTCCTGCCGGGTGTGGTGGTGCACACCTGGAATCCCAGCGCTCGGGAGGCTGAGGCAGGAGGATCGTTGCAAGTTCGAGACCAGCCTGGGCTACAAAGTGAGTTCAAGGCCAGCCAGAACTGTACAGAGAGACTCTGTCTCAAAAAGACAAAAAAAAAAAAAAAAAAGTTGGAGGCTCCAGGTGGAGGGGATATGGGCCTGGGGCTCCCCAGTGTGGCTGCTCCTCCCTCAGAGCCTCCCTTCCCTCACTCCCACTCCAGTGCCCTGTTCTGAGCTTCAAGGCCTTCTGGAAACCTTTAATGCACACCCTCCACCCAGATTCAAGGGGAGGAAAGATAAGCTCTGCCTGCTTCCCTACTACAAGGGAATTAAAGGCCTGTGTATCAGTTGCTTTTTAGTTCCCAAGGCAAAATCCCCAACAACTGCAACTTAAAAAAGGACGGATTCATTTTGACTCATGGTTTTAGAGAGTTTAATCCATGGCCAGCTGCTCCAAGGCAGGAACATCATGGTGGAAGGTCTGGCAGAGAAAGGCTGCTTGCCTCATGGTGGCCAGGAAGCAGAGAGACCAAGGAGCCAGGGCACACCCCAGTGAGCACCTCTAACCAGGACTCCTAACAGCACGTTCAGCCATGAACGCATCCATGATGGATCCTCTGATGAGCACAGTGCCTTATGATCCATCACCTTCCATGCACATGAGATTCTGGGGGGACATTTTTATTTACCCTTAATGCCTTCAAATTTCCTTTTGTTAATTAATTCAGGACATAGGTTGTGACATTTCTTTTAAAAAATCATTTATCTAATGTCTGTATCAGAGTATAACAATTTAAACTGAAAAATTTAAGAGCTTAACATCATACATATTTATAGATGTACGTATGTGTATACATATGTTTTTTGTTTTTTTGAGACAGAGTATTGCTATGTAGTCCAGTTGGCCTTGAACAGGATCCCAATGTAGCTCACACTGTACTTGAACTCATAATCCTCCTGCCTTAGCCTGTGATTACAAGCTGTGAGCCACTACACCCAGTTTAGGTATATATTCTTATTTGTAGAGGAACCTAAAGTAATAAAGAATTCAATAGGAAATAGTTCACTGCATGAAATTCCATGGAAGAGCAAAACTATTTTTATTGAGGGATGTTTAATAATCTCATTTTAATGGTTTTTAATCTTCATGTTTAATTTAGCTTCGTCACATAGCAGCTGTTTGGTTCTGAGGTTTTTAAGAACTTCAGTGGTTTCAGCTATTTCGCTTTATCAGAACACATTATTAGTCCTCAGCTTCATGGAATCCTTGCTCTTTTGGTTCATATTTTCTCTGTAGCTTTTTATTAGTGGAAAGTCAGTGATAAACTGAAGAACTTTACGATTATTTTACTTCAAAAGCAGGAAAGAATCATGCAATAGCATGATTCTGTCTCAAAAATGAATAAATAAATAAAAAGCGCTGCGGGGCATGGTGGCGCATGCCTGTAATCCCAGCACTTGGGAGGCTGAGGCAGGAGGATCGTTGTGAGTTCAAGACCAGCCTGGGCTACAAATTGAACTCAAGGCCAGCCAGAACTGCATAGCGAGACCCTCTCTCAAAAAGACAAGAACAAAAAAAAGGGGCTGTAGGTGTTGTTCAGGGTAAAGGCCCTGGGTTCCATCCCCAATTCAGAGAAAGAAAGGGAGAGAGAGGCACAGAGAGGAAGAAGGAAGGAGGGAGAAGGGGAGATCACTCACAAATGACGGCCAAGCAGTATCTGAAGTGGTGATGATGAAGAATTTTCTGTGACTTAAAAAAAGAACAAAGCAGGGAAAATCGTATTGCAAATTTTTGAAATTACTCTTTATAAGACGAAGCAAAGTTGGAAGAGAGAAGTGTGTATGGAGCATAAATGCAGAGCTGTATTTGAGTGTTTTATCAGCTTAATGATTATATTACTATTTTATTCCAATGGAAGAATTTTCTCTTTATCCTGCTTTATATTTGCTTATTTATTCTATCCTTCCCATGCCTCAAAGGAATAGTTTTCTTTATTTTCCTTATTCCATTCAATTTTTAGAAACTACATTTCATTCTCTTCTTCCTCCTCTTCCTCTTCTTTCTGGTTTTGTGAAACATGATCTCACCATTTTATTCAGCTGGCCTTGAATTCACTATGGAACCTGTGCTGGCCTGGAACTCATGGCGATCCTCCTGCCTCAGTCTCCTGAGTACTGGGATTACAGGTGTGTGTCACTACACCCGGCTTCTTTCTTTTTTTTTTTTGGTACCAGGAATCGAACTCAGGACCTTGCACTTGCCAGGCAGGCACTTGTGCCACTAAACTATATCCATGGTCCTTCTTTCTTTTTAAAAACAAATATATACTATTAAATAATACACTGAGATATAAAAATGGGAAGTTCTTTCCAAGTCTGCAAAGATGGTCACACTGTTCAAGGGACTCCTCTCTCACAGTCTTGTCTGTGCCTGGTCAAACTGGAGATTTACCTGTTTCCAGTATCTTATTTTGAATTTTACACAGAAGTAAGTTGAGAGAATATTGTGCTAAGCACTCATGCATGGATGCTCATCAAATGCTCATACCCTTAAGATGGGCATTTACAGCGCCTCCTCTATTAATCATCTATTACATAAAATGTGTTTCCAGGGTAGCTTTTCCATTGCTGGCATGTGGCCATGGTCAGGTTACAAAGATAAGCCTCAGCTTCCTAACATCCATCTCTTTTTGGTTTTATTTTTATTTATTTATTTTTGAGATAGGGTCTTGCTACATAGTTCCACCAGGCCTTGAACTCACTATGTAGCCCAGGTTGGCCTCAAACTTGCAGCAGCAATCCTCCTGCCTCAGTCTCCCGAGTGCTGGAATGACAGGTGTGTGGTGTGTGTGGCACTACACCCAGCTCCTAGTATCTATCTTGCTATAGGTGGATGTATCCTACAGATAGATGGGGTCGGAAATTGACCCTTTCCTTGCAGCAGTGTAGAGCAGTGCAGAGAAGGTACAGTAAAAAGCTTAGTATAGCACTTGTAGCAAAGCAGGTTACATAAAAATGTTATCGATGATGATAACAACACAATCATTGTGTCAAACTGCCCATTCGTTTTTTTCAGACTGACTCCCTTCTTTTCTTTCTGGTACTGAGGCTTGACACTCAGGGATTCACACTGAGCCCAGCAATTTTTATTTTTATTTTGAGGCAGGCTCTTGTTATGTTGCTAAGATGCCCAACCTGGGTTGAACTTGCAATCCTTCTGCCTCAGCCTCTCAGAGGGATGGGAATACAGACCTGAGACACCATGCCCCCACATGTTTTCTTTGCTGACCCCCCTCCTTGAAATGCTCTCCCCAGACCTCCACTGGGGTCTCACAGGCGGCCCCTTCTCCAGGAAGTCCTTGTGGATGTCTGGTTCTCGCTGTCCTCTGCGAGTCTAATGCTTCCCTCCTCTGGTACCTATCATTCGCCGAATCTGTTGAACTGGATAATTATTTGGTGTTTTTTTTTTTTTTTTTTTTTTTTTTCCCTTAAAAAGTTACTGAGCTCTGTTACGCAAGTAATACACCAGCAACTCAGGGAGGGGAATTTTACTATTTCCGTTTTATTTTATTTTCTTTTTCTTTTTTTTTTTTTTTTCCGGTACGGGGAACCAAACTCACGACCTTGTGCTTGCCAGGCAAACACTGTGCCGCTGAGCTAAATCCCCAGCTCCACTATTTCCGTTTTAAAGAAGGGGCTGAGCCAGATGTGGTGCTGCAGGCCTGTGATGCCAGCGCAGCGGGAGACCGAGGCAGGAGGATCACAAGCTTGAGTCCAGTCTGGACAATTTAGCGGGACCCTGTCTTTAAAAAAAAAATAAAATAAAAGGGTTGGGGA